CGTGTCTAAGAGGAATCCCAATTTAACAAGCCTCAAAACAAACTCCTGAAATATCCCCATAACCTGCTCCTCTCAATCTTCTCCCCTCATTAAATAAATCAAAGCTGTATCCCCGAGTTTCTCATTCCAGAAATGCTGAGGCCATCCTTGAATATTTTTTTTTTCTTCTTTCAGTTTATTTCGGATTGCTTGGCAAATTCTAGCAGCTCCACCTCTACTGTGTATCTAGGATCTGACCACATCTCACCACCTTTGCTTATAGCAACCTGTTATTGCAAGTCCCTCTCTATGCATGAGCCCCATGAGCTCTATGCATGCACTCTCAAAAGAAAGCCAGACTGTCACTTCTGTGCTAGGACTCTCTAGTCAATGCCCTTGCTACTCACAGATGGCATAGGGTACTGTTGCTAGTCTGAAGCTCCTAACCCTGCACCTTCTTCCTTTCTATGACACCAGACTCAGCCACAGATTCTTCTGGTCCTAGACCTGTGCTGACCTCTGCTCTCTTTCATCTGCCCAGGCCCCCACCCACAGTCGGAAATGTGGCTGCTGCTCCTTGTAGGTGTCAGCTAGAAGGTGGTCTGGTAGGGAGCTTCAGGGGCCACCTATATAACACTCACCTCGCACCCCTGTTCTCCCTGTGCAGTCCACCCTCAATCTTTCTTCACAGCACTCACAGCCAGCAGACACCATTAATATTTACTGATCAGAGTCAGCTTCTCTCTGGACCAGAACAGAACTGCTCATGAGGAGAAGTTTGTTTGCTGCTGTTCCCACTGCTATTAGAACAGTGCCTGAAGGTGCTGAGAGACTACATGAAGATCACTGTTCCCTTTTTGCCCAGAGTGAACTCCAGCGCATCTGTGTATTCAACTCCCAGTCCTCTCAGATGCCCTTTTAATCTTGGCTTCACAGGGAAGCCCTTCTGCACCCCCACATTCTGTCTCAGCCTTAATTCAAGCCTTCTGTGTGCCTCTACCTCTTCATTCTCCCCTTGGTTGTAGTTTTGAACCCACTCTGAGGCACTGCTGCAATCATGTCCTTAATCAAGTCTGAACTCTGGGAGGACTAGAGCTCCACCTGCTCCGGCTTATCCTTTCTGCAGAATTCAGTACAGAGCCCTAAATATGGTAGATTTCTTGAACAAGTGAGGGAATCAAAGCATCAGATTCAGTTTTTCTTTAGTTTCTCACATTTTAATTAACCAAGCAAATTTCTTTTATTTCTTCAGAAGTATTTATTTTCTGGTGTGTTTTCTTTGACTTGGTAGATGAGATGGTAAGAGGTACACTGTGACTCCGAAATGGGATTGCTAGAGTTCCTATCTGGGTCCCCTGCACAGCCTGTTACTGTCAGAGCTAGAGGTCTCACACCTCAGCTTTTTATATGGCTTTAGTAAAACAAATGCCAGGTACCTTTCAAAAGCTTCATATCTTATCTCAGTTTGTTTCTCCCTCATTCAAAGAATTAAAAATGATTATAACTCCAAAGTAAATGAGTTATCCTACAAGATGTAAAGTAAGCTAAAGCCCAACTTGTTGCACTCAGGGAAAACTCATTGGTGGGGGGTGGAGGTTGCTACTAAAGCAACCATTGTAAATGTATCTACAAAAAATACTAAAACTGCCCAATTACTGAAGAACAGTTGCTGAGCTTCTGCACATGAAGAAAAAGTCACTAGTAATCTGCTTTGTCTCTTTTGTGACTGTCACCCTGATATGCAGAATGTTCATCAGGGTCATCTGTACTGCAGCAGACAGTAACATCAGTCAGAATGTCACAGAGAAAGAATGTGACTGTGTCACTAAGAAAATAATTGATTAATTTTTACAGCATGATTTTTTTCAGATACTACAGTACTTAAAAATAATGTTACTTAAAATTTAAATCGTTAAAGTACATATAATTTTCCACTTTCTAGAAGATCAAAAGCAAAGGAATCACTCCAATATTTAGTAAGGCCTGCATTTTATTTCATCTGAAAGAAATGAATCAATATCAAGGGCTGATATAGGACTACTGGAATATTTTACTCAAAGAATGCAAGTTAATAAAGTAAGTTTCAAAAATCTACTTTTAAAGCAAACATTGGAAGTCAAATTTTGGACCTTAGTACAAGAATGAAATGTGCATAGTTTCTGGCTGTTATTCTGTTATAGCATCAAGTCTAGAACAAGGTAAATTTTAGTTGCCATATGAAGCTCACTGCAACATAAACATCTTTAATTTTTTTTTTTCTGAAGCTAAGAAATGCTGCAATTTCAGCTCCTTCTTGGCCTGACACTAAAATCTCTCACTTCAGAGTGTTTTGAAAAACTTCATTGATCGACAAGGTATTCTGTCTAGATGGAACTGTCTGGAGGCCTACAGTTGTTCTACCCCTGACTAAATGGCAAAATGATGGAAAAGATTACACAGAAGACCCAGAGCAAATGTTGCAAATACATGGAAAACTGGGCTACCAGAGCAGCAAATTACGAAAGAAAAGGAACCCATTTCTTACCTGTAATTTAGAATTACCCATTCCATGTATACTGATCCCAAGTAAGAAACTTGGGAGGGATGAATGAATGTTAATCATCAGGAATAGAACAGACAATACAAGACCACTGTAGTATCAGGAATAGTGGATAAATCATTTGGCATTTATATGGACAATGTTTTATTTCAAGGATATTCAGTGTCTTTCTATTTCATTTAAGTTCTCTTGTCAGAGTTCTGTAATAACTCCTTTTAAAATTGACATTCTAAATTCCTTAAATTCCCTAAGCTCTCATCAATAAAGGAGCAAGTCTTTAGACAAACACAAAGTCAAAAATTTAACGATGACAGGCCCTAGGGCATCCTGCAGAAATGTGTGTACCTCTGTCCTCTAAGAATTAGCCTCCTAGCCTCACAAAGCTAGAAAACAATCCCCTTAGAGCGCCAGAGATATGGTTCCATGGCACAGTGCCTACCTGGCAAGTGCGAGATCCAGAGTTCAATCTAGGTTAAAAAGAAAAAAATTCCCCTAGAAAGAGATAAAGGGACACTTGGTTTGAATTTTAATCTCTACTCTTATTTTTAAAACATCTTAGTAAAATAAGTCTTCAAATTCTATTAGGTGTGTTCTATGTCCTCTCAAATATGTCATCTCTGGGAACTTTGATGATACTCTACCACCTCCCAAAGTAACACTGTTTGCCCTAAAATAGGTAGAATAATCATCAGGAATTGGGACACCTTGGCTAAGGGAATTCAGAGGCTCCATACACAGGCTCCACACTGGAATGCAAATGAAACAAGACTTCAGAGTGAAATGAAAAAAAGCATAAACTCTCTGATGAGATGGGCAGAAGATTATAAAAAAGTACAACCCTACAATACTAAATTGAAATTATTTGGGTGGGTTAGAATTTCATTTTGGAACTAACTTACCATAATAAATAGATTTATTTTTCCAAAATAGTCTGGAAAAGACTTCTACAGCTTAAACTTTTTTTTCTGCCCCAGAACAACTCTGCACGCGCTTTTTATTTTTTTTTTTTTCTTAATGAACTCCTTAAAGGTACTTTACCCACAAAAGTACTTTGTGAGCTTTCAGTATTAGAAGTGGAAAGTACAACAGATTAAGTCTGAAGGTGATTCTCAGATCCTATATTATTCAATTAATAAAGCAAGAGCAGAAGTTTTGACATAGATTTGGAAAACAAGGTTTCTTATACCCCTTTCTCCAAATTCTTTTACTATGAGTCAAAAATAATTCACAGGAGAAACTATACAATAAAATCAGAGTGATACCTAACCTATTAATACAATATCATCCAACAGAAGAAATACTAAGAAATACTAAGGAATACTAAGAAATACTAAGGATCAGAAACACTTGCCCAGCACTTGCTATATTGCAAACAATGTCAACATTCCACAATTTCTGCAATACCTCATGTATCTTCTCATATAACCCCTAAAAAGCTCCATAAGCTAACAATAAGAATCTTCTTCCCAGAGACCATAAGTACTTTGTGAAAGTCTGATAGTAGGAGTAAGACCAAAAATTTCAACCCAAGATCTGTCTCCAGATGCAGGTAGTCTCCTCATATGTGAAAGATTCTTGCGAAGTACTCGCTAGAGTGAAGAGCACGCACTTTCATCTCCATTGATTAAATGAGATAACATAGGTAAAGCTCTTGGCAGAAGGCCTGACACTCAAAGTAAAAGCAATCGTTCCTCTTACTATGGTAGCAGTAGTCTTGTTGGTCAGTGCTGTCATTTAATCCTTACTATAGCCTTGCAAGCAAGCATCACTGGTGCAGATAAGAAAACCGAGCTTCCAAGAAGTTAAACAACTTGTCCTAAAGATCCTTGCTTACAAAGTTAACCTAATATTTCTCAGTTCACATTATTTTCATATCTCTTTGGCTCCAAATAGTGCAGAAAGCAGTTAGTATTCACTTGGTGACTCTTTGTGTAACAAGTATCTTTCAAACTATTGCATTAATTCTACTTTGAAATTTAAATACGCTGTCAATATCTTTTAAAAGCAGAGCTAAGTTTCATAAGTCACTGATCTGTTACGTACAGGCTTTAAGCATGGCTCATGGAGAAGCCAGATAAAGAAAACAAAACAATACCCAAACAGATGAAATGCTTTTGGAATTGTGAAATGTTTACCCAATTCTACTAGACCCAAGGGAATTACAACAATCAGTTTTCTTAGTTTTTTGGGAATTGATTAATTAATAAAAAAGAGCTAAAACAATTTACTGGCAAACAAAGCTGGAATGTATAATTTCACCCTGAGTATGAAACTAAAATTTCATTTTGTAATTGATTTTTCTAGGCAAATTCAATAAAATGATTTTCTTTCCTGGAGCTCTCAAGTTTCCTTCTCCTTTATGTTTGAATCTCATGTGGGAATCCTTAGACTATAAATATGCCAAAGACTTAGACTACATATATTACCTTAGACCATAAATAGCAGATATGCCAAAGTGACATATGGTTATGTTTGTACTCACAGGAGAAGTGAATGTCAGATCCTACTAGAAAGGACTATCTCCTCCACTCAACCCTTGTTCCCTGTAAGAAAAAAGGTTCAGTCTGGCATGCCATACAGTCATAGTGAACTTTTACAGTTCTGGTATTATACAAACACTTAAATAACTTGCAACAATTATTTGACTTGGACTTCAGAGCACACGGTGAACCAAGTATTCAAGTCCTCATTTTTAACCAGTATATAACATTACAGATTTCTTGATTCAGTTTCACAGAAAGTTAGTCATCGATTTCGCAAGATAAATGAGTTCTGCTGAGCTCTAGTGGCAACCAAGGAAAAGTGTAAATGAGATACAAAAGCCTAGTCTCTCACCCCAAGACTGATTCAGTTTTTGTCACTTCATAAAGAATACAGCTTTAAGAAGACAAGACTCCATTCACTGTTTTTCCTCTTACCTTTTGTCTTCTTTCTCTGGTTTGGAGATTCTCTAACACCAGAAGGTAATGAATAAGAGCTGAGCAGGAAATCTGGTGGAATTTAAATCACATCTGAAGAGCAGTGAGTCTGGCTCTCACAGCATCTCACAGCCTTGCGTCAGGGAGCTCCCGAACCTCCAAAAGAAGAGCTCGTCACACTGTTCTATCCCTGGGCTGGAGGTGAGCTCTCCACAATTTGTACCTGGAAGATTTGATGGGCCAGGTTTCCCGTGGACACCTGCAATCATCATTGGATTGCAACACAGACCCTACACTGGCGCCTTTCCCAGAACACCCAAGTTTGGGAAAGAGAATTTCATTTATTTCTTTAGCAATCAGGGGCTGAATACACAGTCATCCTGTTCATTCAATCAGTCACTTAATCAACAACAGGAATTACTGATGGTCTGCTTTGTTAAATATGCCAGTAGGCTTTGGAAATAGAGTTCCAAATGTAATGTGCTAAAGTATACTTCCAGTCCCTGTTATTCTCTACCCACTTCTAGGCACTTGCTTAGGGAGGGGGAAGAGAAAAGATTTTTTAGACACAGGAAAGCAGTGTCTTGCTTGAGATACCACCTCAAGACTCAAGGTGCTTAAGTTTCAGTCACAATCCTGACACACCTATGCACCACATTTGTAATAGCCATGTAATAGCCATGTCTCCCTGTCTGTAATCCCAAGATGTAGATAACAGGACTTCTCTCAGAGGACTCTAGGGAAGACTACAGGAATTAATTTACGTAAATGATTCCAGACAAGCTTGAGCAAATAATAAGCATAATACAAATATAACCAGTGTTTCCATCCTCCTGAGGTTGATCAGACTCCCTAGATCTCCTTTGAAATAACCTGTCCAGGTATGGTTCTTCGACAAGATTTTGTTCAAATGAAGAGAGCTGGTACTGGTCATTGATAAAGGTAAGATGAATAATGATGAATTATTTTCAGGGCCACAGAAGAACCCCCAACATTCTTCACTAGGCCTTTAAAATGAGGGAACTCAGATTTAGATATTTTCCTTGACTAAACTTTAGTCAAGATACTCTAAGCCCTTCCTGGCCTTGAACTTGGTTTTGGTCTGCCAAGCAAGTTCCTTGAGAATCTTCCCCATCTCTGATCTCTAATCAAGCTTCTCTCCTACATCCCCCTTGATATCGGGCCCCCTTCTTAGTCACTTTTCACCTTCTCCCTTCTGGCTCTCCCTACTCCCCACTCACCCAATTCAGATTTGATTTCAGTGTCTCTCCCCTGTTGTAACATCCTTGAATAAGTCCTCTTTGCTACTTAAAAAAGTATTAATCAGAACATTTTAATAATAAAAAAATTGAAATACCATGATTGAAATCTTATAAATTCTCTACATAGGGCAATAGAGATACATTCAAAAAGACCTGAAGAGTCCATGATGCTCAAAGAACACTTTCTTATGATAGTAGGGTGAGGAATGAAGACTGAAAAAGCAGTAACAAAAATTTTACAATACTTTCTTGGGCATCAGCCATAATTGTACCATTCATTAGGTCAACTCAGTTTGGCTCCAATGCATACATATTTTCTGGAATTGGTGGTGTCACGGTTTGAAAGGGAATAAATTTAATATGGGATACACAATTTACAGATTTTATAATATTCACCTAAAATGTCAAATGCGGAAGAGTGCAGGAGATCTGTCCACACTCTAGAGACCCAAAGAATCCATTTGAGGGCCTGGATCCCATGGTAATGTCCTTCACCAGTTCAGTTGGAGGCCTAGAGCCTATGACAATGTCTTATGAAAGTTTATGTCAAGGACCTGCACTGGAAAGACCCAAAGGGCAGTGGTGGAAGATAGTAAGTCTGTGCCAGCAGGATGAAGAATCTGTGCCAGCAGGCTGAAGGATGTGCACTGGAGCCAGGAAGTGATGCTCAAGGTGAGGACCAGAATCCCCCACAGAGTATCACAGGAATCCTCAGCAACACTGAGGACCCAAGCTCCTCAGACCATGGGAACAGCTGAGTTCACATCAGGAGAGCCCGTGTGACAAGCCTCCAGGAGAATCAACAGCACACCATCTTTCCCTCCAGTTTTCCTTTTATACTGTTGGCAACAATTTTCAGGTGGGCCTTCCACAACCAGCACTATTCAGTTCAGCTGATTCAGTTCAGCTGGGTGTTACAAGGTGCTGGCAGTTAATCCACCACAGGTGGTAATAACAATAACAATAATAATAGTAAGTCTTAAACATCTAGAATCATGCCTGGCTGCAGGATTAAATAGAAGTAGAAAACTGATATGACATAGGCTATTTAGAAAGTGTTTAAAATCATTTGACAAACAGGAAAGACAAAAATAGGAATGAAATGTGGGGTATTGAATCAGTTAAATTACAGTTCAGCTTAAATATTCATACTAGGAGAGAAGAATTAAAAAGTCATGATATTTGTATTTTTCCACTTGAAGGCAATCACATAGTTCTGATAATGTACCCATCAGATTCCAGAAACTTTAATTAGGAAATGGAGGTGATGAGAGAGAAAAAATATTAATGAGTAGAGGAGGAAATGTACATTGATATGAATCATTATACTTTTTTTAATTTACTTTTGAAATAGGCAAATCACTATTTTCCTGAAGGAACTATACATGAATAGTAAAATGTCTTTGACTTTAAGCTCAATACATCTCTATACTAATGTCAAGTTCATCCATCAAATTAATAGAGAAATGTCTCACATCATTTATGAGAAATTCAACCTCCCTTTTGGGTTACTGCAAATTAAAATCTTTCCCATGTACTCAAAGACTTTTACTCACAGGGCTTCTAGAACTTTTGATTTATGAGGAAAAACTGGTCTCTACCTTCCATTATAGTCCCACAAAGTTTTGATATTGCTGGAAATCTTCAACTGACATCCATTAGTGAGGAAAATCTTCTATTAGAGAGGCTGGCACAGAGCCATTCAGGGAAATCCGTACAGAAAGACTGACAAGGCCAAAGCACATTAAAACTAAACTAAGGTCCACAAAGCCCTGGATCCCGCCTCAGCTCCATTTCTACTTAGCACTGTGACTTCCCTGGCTCTCTTTGATCCTTTATCACATGCATGGGTGAGGAGCTTCAAGCACTCTTCGCTCAAACTCTGCAGTTTTGTAATGTGTAGTAAGTGCCACAATGAAAGATTTGCTCTTAAATGCTTTGGACTTCTAGGTTTCTAAATTTTACTTGAGTGCTTCTCTTTTTCATTTGGTTTTTCAACATCTAAAAAGAAGTTTTCTGTATCTGAATACTCGAAACACTAAAGCTATATATCTTATTGGATTTTATTATATGTGATAGTATAAACAAAACTTTTATAGACAAGGAGATTATACAGAAACCATTGTTCATTTTCTGTTAGTTGATCCTAAATACCCTGTAATACTGTCATTCTCTTGAATGGTTTTACTTGTTTTGATATATTTGATGCTACAGTATACGAAGTTATACTCAAAGATTTCAAGGAAAGAGACAATATGATAACTACTTTTATGTCAGAATTATCTTGTGGTGAAACACTATTTTGCTTAAATGGTTATGTTTTGATCTGAGCTGTTTTGTTGTTATGCCCTCTTTTATCTCAATCTCCATTTCATTAATTATTTTTTTATTTTTATCTTTTTAATTAAGGGAAAAATAAATTTAAAAAAGCAGGATATATTATAGTAACCAACTTTGATTTACTATTAACGTGATTTGAAGCCCTGTATTGCTCTCACCATCTTGTTTAGACTGACGTTCCTCTATTCTGTTTTGCTTGATAGTACCAGGTTCGAAAGTATAGGCAACAGCTGTGAAGATAGTGGGATTCATTATGACGCCCATTCTGGTTGACTGTTATCTACTTTTGAAGACCTGTAATATCTCCAATGTTTTGGTTATGTTTTGTTCTTTGTTCAATTTTATTATAACTGATGATATAGGCATTTCTATTAGAGATAATGGGAGGCATCATGGTAACCACTGTTGATCACCTTGTATTATGTTTTTATATTATCTATTATGTCCACCCTTTTGATTTGACCGACTCTGTTCTGTTATGTCACATTTGGTTTTACTCTCTTCCAAAAAAATAATAAGAACTGTGGGAGCAATAAAACCCAAAGTAATAGTTATTGTACAAAAGAGAGGAAAAGAAAGTGCTCTAAATGGTATAACTGCATGTATATCTAAGTGTATAAGATAGACAATGATATTACTGAGTTTTGTTCGATCACTGAACAGAACTGTTTGGTCTCACTGTTTGAATGTCCACTATATAAGCTTTAATTTTGTAACTTGTAAGATGACAATATGTAATCCATTAACTAGTGATTTCCTACTGTTTTTTTTTTCTGAAATTCTGTATAACTTGTACCCTTTTTCTGCTTTTTTTTTTCTTTTTCTCCTTAAATAAAATTACAAAAGAAAAAGAAACACTAAAGCTTTTAGGATAAAGAAAAACAAAAGATGTATTATTTTCTTTCTTCAGGTGTTTGGAAACTGAAAGTGCTGATTTCCGCACAGACATAAGTATTTGCAGAATTACTCATATTTATGCAAATTTATCCAATTTGAGTTTTTTGGGATTTAAACTGGATCAAA